TAGAGAGAGTGAATGCTTTTCCCATGTTTACTTCTATGCTTATTAAGATTTTTTGAGCACCAGCTCCGCAAATCAACAATTATTATTAGAGATTTGCATCTTACTGATACCGGTGGTATATTGGAAACTCTTTCGCTCGAAAGTAAAACATATTACAAGCACATCTCGATGCGCGCTTGGATGTGAGATGGTTTTCTCAAGTATTCCTGTTGCGTATAAAGTGGTAATGATTGAAAATCGGAACAATCACAAACAAGTAAGAATCTTGCTATCGCAATATAATGATGATGACTTCGAGGATGATATCGTCCTCTTTCCTCGGCTGATCATCAACGTCCGCATTGACATCTGTCATGCTGACACCTGTCAGTTATTGAGCCCAGGTGGTAAAGTTGGCGGGGAACTTCCAACAGCTTCAATGTGCACTCAACAGATGGCGCTGCGATCACATTCGGGTGGTAATTATATGCCTTGTATGAGGAATTGATTAGTGGGATATCTTGTTAATTTGATATCTTTGCTATTAAGCAGGTTCGTTCTTCCGGTATTCAGCAACTTCCATTCAATAAAATCCAAGCGCACAAATTTCAAACGATTGAACCGAAATCCAACCTAGCTTCAAACAAATCTACCATCACGAATGAACTCAAAAAAGTCTATTATATAACATCCAAGCCTGTTTTTCAAAGGACAGAGCCAAAATCTATCGTGGCTGATCAAGAAACCCAAATTTCTATAAAAATAGTACTTTTGTGGATGTAAACCCAGTATTCTCAACAATTGCGCTGACTTAAAAAAAAAATCTAGTATCCGGTTTGAACACACGAAGGTCCATTCTTCCATTTCTCAGCCTAATTTTCAAAGGATGTGGATCTCACAAGAACGAAGAAGGGGTCTAAAGGAGTGGAATCTACGCTAAAAGTTAGTTAAATCACTTCAGAAAAGTTCAGACTAACATTAAATAAAATTCAATCACTCAACAGAAAAGTTTGGACTCCCTAATGAAGGTTATGAACCACTTCAGAAAAGATGTTACTCCTTTGGAAAATTTAAGTGTCAGAAAACTAGATGACCTACACAAGATTGTGTCATTGCCAAATGACAAAGCAGTTCGGAAAAAGTTGAAAGTTGATTTATTTAGGAAAGGGATTAAATCAGCTAATGTTGCCTCACTTCAGAAAATGCGAAACCAATTCTTTAAAGATTGGATTCGGGATTTGTTGAATCGCTTCAGGAAAGCTTTGACAACTTTTAAAAGGATTGAATAACATAGCAGAAAAGTTTAGACTTAGTTAGAAAAATGTTGATGACTTATTCGAAAGTTTGAACTCACTTCAGCGGAAAAGTTCAGAATCAGTGTTGAATCTGCTTTGAAAAGTGTCACCTTAGTTAGGAATTTCCTGAATATCAGAAACGATTCATCAAGCCGGTCTCACTTTTAAAAAATTTAAACCAATTTTGAAAAGATTGGATTTAGCTCGGAAATGGTTGAATCACTGTAGAAAAGAATTGAATAATTTAGTATCATTGCAGCAGGTTTGTAAGTTAAGAAATTTAGATCGAATGCAAAAATCTGGCGCCTATGGTGGGCTGGGCCCATCGTAACAATATCGGAAAACGACCCAATGAGAATGGTTCTTGGCAGTGATCCGACTGGAACAAGACGAAGATGTGCGCAATGAACAAGAGGGATCGATCAGATTGAAGACGGCTTACCTAGTGAGTTGCCAAAAAAGATTAGGAATGAGTTCGATAAAATCCGTTTTCAACAACTGAAACCGGCTGATTCGATTTCAAGGACCTGGCATGCCGTACCGGTCTAGTTCAAAATTATGTAAAAATTCTGTAAAAGAACAAGATGATATTCTAGCAATCTAGAGTATCCATACCCAAATGAAATAGCGATACTCGAAAAATAAATATACTCTAATTTTTTTTAATTCCCCTTTATGGTATTCCAAAATTTTGAAAGGGGGGGGGGGGCTGACAAAAGAAAAACTTGAGATTTGTTCCGGCCTTAGTCCACTGCTCGAACTTTTCTTCGTACACGGCAAATCCTTCAGATCAACTGAAGTTCCTCCCTTTTTCTTCCGTATGTGCTTCACAATTGAATAGTATTCCTCAATTGGCCTTAGTTTCGGAGTATTGGCCAGATTCATCTCCTTGGGAACTACTGTGAGGCCATTTTCGTTGTACCACTGTTCGGTGGAATTTGAGTAGTGGCAACTTGCCGGCCAGAATAGGCAATCGACCACATGCTGCTCCAGAAAAGGCACTCCTCCTGGTAAATTTGCTGGTTCATGGTCCCGCTTTCCAGCCCACAATTGCAGATTGTTTGTCAGACAAAGAATTTTTTGGAGCTTATCGACTTCTTTTTGATTTTACATTCTTCCGGGCTCTGGTCAACCGAGGTATAAAATTCTTGCCCAGGAATTTGATCGAAAACTGCTAGAGACAGGGATTTTCGATTCGAGCGTGCAGGATCGAATCGCGACGTGCTTGCTCCGGAGAAGGCATGATGTAAACAAATGATCTTATCCTGACATCCAATGCCTACTGTGATTATATATACACACATAGAAATATTGATATAAATTTAAGTGCTCTGAGACTGACATATACGAGCGTCAATTTTGACACAGAACTGAGTCATAATAGACGCAAAATTCAGCTCAATCAAACGTACTTTCGAACTTTTCAGTCTCGGAGCACTTAATTTTACATGACATGTTTGTTTACGTCTCATCCATTATGTCAAAGATGGATTCCATCACGTGTAAGATTAAGTATTTATTAGAGTGTACTCTTAGCTTGATACATTGAAATTTTGAAGAAAAAAAAAATTCTCAAAAAATTTCTTAATGGCAGCGTTTTTAATGTGTCCGGATTTTTTCGTGGTCAACCATTAACTTCACGAAAATTTAAAGCACTTTAAGTAATTTCTGAAAAAAATATAAAGTTTATTTAACAGACTGCGGGTACAAAACCATCGAGCTATTCTAGGAAGCTTCAAGGAATTCTAAACGGTTCCATTAGTTTCAGGAAAACTGCAGCAACTTTAAAACGTTACGAGAACTATAACAAAAACCTTCCAGGAAGTCAAGAAAACTACAGAGATTTAGTTTAAAGAAGTTCCAAGAAGCTCAAGGCAGCTAGGAATAGAGATCTTCATGGTAGCACAGAGATTTTAGGGCAGTTCCAATAACTTAAGTAAGTTCCAACAATTTCAGAAAAATTTAAAGAATCTTTAAGAAGTTACGGGGATTTAAGGGAAGTCAAGTTGCAGATTTTTCGGTCACTTCCATTTTTTTTCAGAGCTTCATAGAACCACTTTGGCAGAATAGCGGGAACTTCAGAAAATCAATGGAATTACCGAATTTTAAAAGAAGTATTGAGCTACCAGGACATTTCCGAAAACATTAACAAAGTTCCGAGAGTTTTAGGAAAGTTGTGGAATCTTCAGGTAAGCTCCATGAAGATCGCGAAAATTCGGTAACATTTTGACGGAAGTTCCGATAACTTCGAATGCTTCAGAATATTGCGAAAACTTCAGCGAAGACCTAAGAACTTAAAGGCAGCCCCATTCATAAAAAAAAAAAAAAAAAAAACGAGGAAATCTCAAATGTCTACACTGCCCAAGGAACTTCAGAGATTTTTAGACCGTTTAAATGTCTTCAAGAAGGTCCCAAACGTTTCGAACAAAATCGAAGAGCTTCTGAGTGCCATTCATTAACCTCAGCAAAATTGCTGATATATCAAGATAGGCGAAATGGCTCTAATGTTGGCCTATGGATCTAAGATTTAGCCCATCGCTAAAAATCTGCTATTTATCAATTTAATCTAGATGAATGCGTCATTGGGACGGTCAGACTCATCTTCATGACAAACTCCGTAATTGTCAAGAATTTTCCGAAAATTTCAGCAAAATGGCGGGATCAGAAGAGAAGTTTCATTAATATCAGGAAAATTTCCAAAAAAATTAGGTAGTTCAAAGGGCCTCTTAAAAATTTAGGGAAATTCAGGAAAGTATCAGAACACTTCAGGGAATGTCGTAGAACCCAATAAATAATTCCAGCTGTAGATGAGGCTGATGCAACTAAAAACAGGTTTATTCAGCTTATAGTCTGAATAGTTGTATGCTAGACTAGATTATTGTTCAAAGAAATAAATAAAAATAAATCAAGGGAATTTACGTATTCTTGTCAATCAAAGCAGCGTCCACACTTCTATAGGATTCTTCTCAAAGTAACGCATTTTCGTTTATTTACATTCATTAACTGACTGCTGCTCTACCCATTCCAATCGACAGAATTGTCCATACATATTTTAAAACGGAACTATCAACTCCATACTTTCATCATCTCCTCATCTATCGTATAAAATAGCCACTTTCAGTCTGTTATTTGGTTTGGTTAGAAGATTACAACTCTGGAGAGCATTTTTTGTGGTCGTTGAGGGCGTGCGGTTCTGAATATGGCGATGAGTGTGCAAAATGTTACGCAATTGCATCCACCCTATTCGCACACGCCCGAAGATCGGAGGCGAATGCCACTTCGACTTGTTTTGTCTATTAACGACTCTCTGATGACTGTGTTGGGGAAGCAGCATATGCATGTTCGTTATTGGTGCATTTGTTAGTTATTTCGACGCTTTTGGACAATGCTTGACATTTACCACTTTTTGAATTGTTTCTTGGTAAAAATCAACAGTCGGAAATATTTCTGATCGATTGGTGATAAAAGCATTAAAGTTGGTCCAGAGGCAGCTGAGTTATAAACGTTCAAAATCTTTCATAATTTCGTTACATGTTCCATTTTTTGGTTTTCAAAAAGTGTACCCCCATAAAGAAATCACAGACGTAGTCCTACATCAAAATACAAGATTCAAAATTGCCGAATTTTAGCAAAAAATTAAAAGATCGCCCATAAGAAACAATTTCGCAAAGTTTCATGTAAATCATTGCATTGCATACATCGCAAAACCTTATCAAAACAGCTCACCTCGGTCTTGGTCATCCGGTGCTGCCTTGAGGTGAGTACGCAGCAAATTTTCGAATACACGTACAGCATCACACTCATCGGTATGAAGAACGACCCCATCGCCGAAAACACCACATAGCCTTTGTTTTGATTGTATTGGCATTCGTTCCGCTCTCGGTCCTGGTCGTACCTGTGAGTGAGTTGAGCAAATTGAAATAAGACGAAGAAAAAACAATAGAAAAAGTTAAGTGAAGAATTTGTAAACGGGGAAGTGGAATGCAAATATTGAAATTAATATTTGATTGGTACAGGTACACAGTACGGCGATCCCTTTTGTTCCCTTTTTTGCGGGGTTCTGTTAAGGTCCAAAAGAAAGGTACATAAGCACTTTGCGGAGAAATTTGTCGGCTGCTGCGAGAGCCTCTTTAATCATTCACAGCGAAGCACGCAGGACTCCCGGCGCCTTGACTTGCGAGTAGTATTAATAAGATTCGTTTCCCTGGAAAGCGCTTTAAGGAGTCGGTGGAATGGGGATTTTCGTTTGCTTCGCCTGCGGAGAATATTAAGCGTTCCGCATCGGTAGATTTGATTTGAATGTTGTTGTTTTGCTTCTTTCTTCTGTTGCTTATCGAATGGTTTGGAGTGTACCCAAAGTAAATGCGAGTGTGGTTCATTATTCCTGACAGGTGCATGCAAGTTGAAATTGATTTCCCGAAATCTTACCAGCCCAGAATAGGAGGGCACGTGATGGCGAGTGCCACCAGCCATACGACGAAAATCATCAGCAGGGCCAACCGTTTCGAGCGCCTCCGCTTCGAGTACGTCAGTGGTTGAGTCACGGCCAGATATCTGCGAATGGGATGGAAATCAAATCAAAAAGTTTCTAGTTTCTCGTCTGTTTTCTACCCAATTGAGGTGATTCTCTGAATGTGATTAGTGTCAATCTGACTCTAATCACTTACTAACAATCTACTCAATTAGTTGAGAAAAAAAAACAACGGCGGAGGATTCCTGTACGGATGAGTTTTGGATACTGTACCTGTCGACGCTGATTGCACACAGACTGAGGATCGATGCCGTACAAAGGAGGACATCGAGCGATATCCAAATATCACAGAGTATCCAGCCCAGCTGCCATTTGTCTGCAATAGAAGAGATGATGGTTTATGAACTAAGCTCATCTTCCAGGGGGAACGTGAAACTGTCGGATCGTCGGAATTATCCTTCGATGCGGTTAAAGCTGTGGTATTCCACTGCACGGAGGAATAGGTCAATGGGGGTATTGATTCTCAATTACGACTCCAACAGTTAAGAAATTCCTCGGTGTTCTAGTATAAACTTCATAGTCGTATGAACATTTTCGAAACCATTACTATGCACCATTTATTAACATGAAACATATAGACAAAGGGTGTCCCACATCAAATTGCATCACGGAAAAAACCACTGTAGAAAATTATCCATTGAGTATTTTCTCTTCAAAATTTGGATAGAAGTAGCTTAGAGTGTATTGTTTACACTGTTTATTTATCGCTGCAAGTTTTTCTAAAGTTGGAAAAAATGGCGTCACCCGAAAAGCAACGTCGCGAATTGATTTTGTGCAAGTACCTGGAAAATCCTCAACTCTCTCATCGGGACATCGGAAAAAAAAAACTCGGAATCGTGCTGTCAACGGTGAGTCGTGTGATTAAACGTTATTACGAAACTCTGAGCATCGAACGGAAGGAGAAATGCGGTCAGAATGGATGTTCTATTAGTGATCAGGATCACAAGCATGTCGTGAAAGCGTTTAAGCGGAATCCCAATACTTCGGTCAGGGATGTGGCCAAAAAGTTGAAACTGTCCAAGTCTTTCGTTCAGAGAGCCAATGACCCGGAGGGACTACATACGTACAAAGTGCAGAAGCCTCCAAATCGGGACGAACGGCAAAATACGGTGGGAAAGTCACGGGCCCGGAAACTGTACACCTAGATGATGACGAAGCCTCATTGTCTCATCATGGCTGAAGAGACTTACGTCAAGGCGGACTTCCGGCAGCTTTCGGGGCTACTGTTCTTCACCGCTCAGCACAAGTTTGATGTTCCGGAGGAAGTAAGGAAGCAGAAACTTTCAAAGTTTGCCAAGAAATACATGATCTGCAAGCAATCTGCCCATGTGACTACCGGGACTGTAAACAGGGAGATCTATGTACCTCAAGGAGTGTCTACAGAAGCGTCTGCTTCCTCTGTTGAAGCAACACGATCTTCGATCTACGATCTTCTGGCCGGTCTGGCTTCGTGCCACTATTCCAAAGTTGTCCTGGAGTGGTACGTACTTTCGTACCCAAGGACATGAACCCCCTTACGCACCGGAATTAAGGCCCATCGAAAAATGCTGGGCTATTATGAAGGAGGCACTACGGAAACATCCCAAGGAGGTCAAATCTGAGGAAGACTTGAAGAAAAAGTGGGTCTCCGTACAGAATAAGCTGCAGTCAAATGTTGTACAGAACCTAATGAGTAGAGTCAAGCGTAAGGTGAAATGGAGCAATGGTGCAATTACTAATGGGTTATTTTTTATTGTCCGAAAGTTTGAAAAGGATTTTTCAACTAGGTAATTTTCTACAGCGTTTTTTCCGTGATGCAATTTGACGTAGGGCATCCTTCTAGTCCATTGATCGTATTTCAAATCCAGAAGGTTTCTCTCAAATTTCTCAGACTTCCCTATTGTTTACTGAACTCTTCTAAAATTCATCTGAAAAACGTTGTTGGCACAAAATAAGAACATGGTCACCCTACACTAAATCGTTATACAGCAACACACTATCTCTGTTATCACCAATCTTATCACACACTTCACACAGCAATAGGCACTCACTCTCTATTTCTCACATCACGATCGCAAGCAACAGATAGGAGAAGATTACCGATCAGTATCCAGTAGTAATAAACAATTCGCTGAATAAATCGATCCTCTAAATGCATGCGAGTATTTTTCATCCCATACCGGAATTGTAGATATCCATTTAGCCACTGTGTTTTCTATTGCGGTTGGTCTTAAATTTCTGCTGGCTTTTCACTGATTTATGGTTATCTGCTTGGTTGCATTCTTTCGCTGCTGTTGATGGTTTTGCTTTGCTCCCCCTGTCTCTGTCCTAAATAAGAGATCATTGCTCCGTGTTGCAGTCCGTTGCTCCTGCCAAATCTACCCCGATTCCAGAGAAACGATCGAAGCCATCCATCAGCAACTCAGCAATCAAGTCATCGAACAAGTGTCCGTTTTGTGGGGAAGGATTTCATTCCGCTTTTCGCTGCGTGAAATTTTTGAAGCTGAAAGTACATGAACGCAGTGATGCTGTGAAAAAAGGCAGACTCTGCTTGAACTGTCTATCGCCAGGACATCAAGCACGATTTTGCAGCAAGGGCGTGTGCCACCACTGTAATCAGTTGCACCCAGAATCACAGCAGTCTAGCGCTATTAGAAATACATCCTCCGTCCCACAAGAGCAAAGTAGACCTCCAGCTGGTTATCAACAACAACCACAGACACAAATACCAGACCAGAACCAACAAACACACGCTCACAGCGCTCACCAGTCTACAAGTTCTCTTCCCGTATTACACTCGCATAACACTGCACCTTTGTCCACCACAAACCAATCATGCACAACCCAGAACACTATCGCGCTTCCAACCAATACACTATCCACACAAGATATTCTACTGTCCACCGCCATTGTGTGTGTTAAAGATAGCTACGGTAGCTCACGACTAGCTCGAGCGTTACTAGATTCGTGCTCCCAATTCTGCTTCATGACGACGAACTCCTCCAGTAAACTGAAGCTTCGAGCTTCACCTGAACACCTGTCAGTCCAAGGAATCGGTGGTTCAGTCGTCGTAGCCCGGAAGGTAGTTAAGGCAGCTATTCTACCTCGGTCTCAAGAAATATCATCGTATCGTGAGGAGATGAATTTCTACGTCCTGCCAGAGTTAACAGCAACCTTGCCAGCACGAAGAATCAACGTGAACCACTGGACGCTCCCGCATAATATCACCTTCGCGGATCCCCAGTTCCACGAACCAGGTCGCATTGGTATGATAATCGGAGCAGAACACTATCAATCTGCTCTCTGATGGTCGTGAGAAGGTTGGAGATGAAGGCCCTACACTGCAGAATACGGTCTTCGGATGGGTGGTTTCCGGTCGAACAGCCGATCAACCAGGTACGATGCATCGCACATTGTCGTATTCGTGCACACTTGCAAACCTGCAAGAACAGATAGAAACCTGTCGTTCCAGTAGTAGTCAATCGGTAGAGGAGACGGCGTTTGAAGCATTCTTCGATCAAACAACAGGCAGATTTATCGTCACACTTCCAAAGCGTGAATTCATCATCAATAAGCTCGGCGAGTCCAGAAACATAGCGACAAGGAGATTGTTGGGCTTGGAGAGGTGGTTCCAGTTGAATCCCGAGTTGAAGGCAGCGTACGCAGATTTCATCCACGAGTACGAGCGACTTGGTCACATGGTGCAAGTTCCGGACGTCAAAGAGCAGTTTCCCGTGTACTATCTTCCTCACCATGCAGTTTTCAAACTGGATAGTATAACAACGAAGCTACGGGTCGTTTTCGACGCGTCCTGTAAGACCAGCAACGCTGTATCGCTCAACGATGCGCTAATGGTTGGACCTGTAGTTCAAGAGGATTTGATCGCCATCACACTCCGATTCCGTTTGTTCCGCATAGCCATTGTGGAAAAAATGTATCGTATGATACTCATCTATCTACTCGATCGATGTCTACAGCGGATCGTCTACCGAGAACTTACGAGTTAGCAACAGTCTCTTACGGGACTGCATCTGCACCATACTTGGCGACAAAGTGCTTACAGCGACTGGCAGAAGAAGGAGCTCTCGCTTATCCTCGCGCAGCTAAGGTGTTGAAGGAAGATTTTTATGTCGATGACATGCTGACTGGAGCGGGCAACGTCGAAGAAGCGAAGCAGCTGGCAAAGGAAATGATCACGCTAACTTCATCAGGTGGATTCAACCTGCGAAAGTGGAACTCCAACTGCAAGGAATTGTTAGCCGAATTGCCATCCGATCTCCTCGATGATCGTGCCACTTTAGAGCTTGATTCCTCAACTTCTCCAGTGAAAACTTTGGGATAATTGTGGGAGCCGCATTCAGACAATTTCCGATACCATTCTCCTAAGTGGGACAACGAAGCAGTGCTCACGAAACGCGTCGTTCTCGCAGAAGCAGCTCGTCTGTTTGACCCGTTAGGATTGATGGGTCCAGTTGTCGTCATTGCCAAGATATTTCTCCAAGAATTGTGGAAGCAGCAGTGCGGTTGGGATGAACCACTGCCCGAAGCGATGCAGAACTTTTGGCAGGAGTATAGGATGAATTTGACAGCTCTATCGTCGTTTTCAATTCCTCGGTGGATAGGATACACATCTGATGAAATTTCGGTCGCGTTGCACGGTTTCTGTGACGCATCAGACAAGGCATACGATGCCTCTACATGCGTTGTACGCTGTCGGATGGCTCAGTAGAAGTTCGGCTGCTGATTTCCAAATCGAGAGTAGCACCACTGGAGGATCTCAAGCGCAACAAGAAGAAGTTAACCACCCCTCGCCTCGAGCTGTCATCCGCACTGCTCCTCAGTCATCTGTACGAGAAGGTCAAGCACAGCATTCGTATTCCGCACACCGCAAGCTTCTGGGCAGACTCGACAATCGTAATGCATTGGTTATCTTCGCTGCCATCGAGGTGGCAGATGTTCGTAGCGAATCGCGTGTCCGAGATTCAGCACATTACGAAGGGTTTCGATTGGAATCATGTCGCTGGCTTGGAGAACCCAGCTGACATCATTTCACGAGGGATGATACCGGCTCAGCTTCAGTATAGCATGATTTGGTTTGAAGGTCCACCATGGCTGCGTCGAGACCGCAGCACCTGGCCGGGAAGTCCTGAGGAAGATTTTGATCAATCACTGCTAGAAGAGCAAAGTGCAGTCGCAATTCCAGCACAGTCCAAGCCAATCAGCGACAACTTTTCACTTCATTCCTCTCTATCTACGCTGATCCGTAAAGTTGCATGGATTCGTCGCTTCATTCACAACTGTCACCATCGCGAAGAAAGACGCAATGGGTACCTCAGT